TCATAGTTAAAATTAAAAATGAGATTTAAAAATATAATAATAAATAATGTCTCTCCATTCAAATATATAATTAAACTTGCACAATCAATGCAGGTTAATATGTGTATATACGGAGGTAGATAAGGATGTTTTTACTTGAACTGAAATTTGTTGATCTAGTCTGATCTGATCTGGTCTCGGTGTATTTTAAATTTAACTAAATCTGCTCTGGTTTGAATTGATCTGGTCTGGTCTGTGATTGAAAACAATCCAATTAAAGACACCCTAGATAACAACAATATGTATCCAAAATCAACAATTTGTTATTTAGAAATCTAGTTCACTGCCAATATTACTTAAAATTATATTTATAAAAGTAAAGATAATTGGATATTAGACCATCTTTTTTCTTTCCTTTTGAGTTAGAACTTTTAGCTTTCTTTTTTCTTCAATTTATTAAATTAAATCCGTAATTTCTTAGTTATCAAACTCTGCAGCTATTACACCACAGGAATATAATGACAGTTTATAATGACCATCTTTTATAATGTTTTTTTACAAATGATTAATGATAAACCAACTAAGGATGTTTTTACTTGGACGGAAATTTGTCCCAGACCAGACCAGATCAGACCAAACTCGGATAATTATAAAAATACAAAGAAACCAGACCAGATCAGACCAAACTCGGATAGTTATAAAAATACAAAGAAACCAGACCAGACCAGTTTAGACCAGACCAGATCAACAAATTACAATCTAAGAAAAAACATCCTAACTTAAATGTATATTTTCGGATGCTTTGCTTAGGATGTTTTCTTTTGGACTGAAATTTGCTGGTCTGGTCTGATCTGGTCTGGTCTGTTTAAGTCTGGTCTGGTCTGGACTGGTCTGGTCTGGTCTGGTAAATGTCTGGTCTCTGTGTATTTTATAACTATCCAAGTCTGTTTTGGTCTGGTCTGGTCTGTTTAAGTCTGGTCTGGTCTGGTCTGTTTATGTCTGATCTGGTCTAATCTGGCCTGAGACTGAAAACAGTCCAAAAGAAAACATCCTTAGAGTACAATTAGAAAATAATTAAAACTCAATTATATACCGTGTCATCTTTAACTGCATGTGCGAGTATGACACATTATTTTTGCCGTAATCAATTATTAAGGTGATAAGAGTATAGAATAGGATGCTTAAAGCTATCTTAAATTTTAGAATTGAAAAAGAAAGATACCCATGAAAATGCATTTTGGTAACAAAAACCTCTAATTAAGAATATGACTTTGAATACCATGTTAGGACTGCAAAAACTATGCATCATCAAACAACATTGGATTGCACGACCTATTCATGCATATCAAAAAATGAAGTTATGTCTATCATAGGAGATAGAATTTACGCTTCCAACCACGGAGACAATTATATGTAAAGTACTATAAAATTTCAGATTAATTTAAAGAGTCGAGCACCGTCTACGACTCTTACACTTGCGTTGCGAATGATCTTTGTCATTTATAGCGGTAGCACACTCTACCACACCAATGAACTACAATAAATGTTGCCATAAAAACTGTGAAAAGGCACGTATTCACTGCACTTTATTGCAATTGTATTTAGAGGCTAAACATATTAAGTCTAGAGAAGCCCAAGCATTAGCCTAAAGTATCTCATGTGCTACTACATACAAAGTATTTAATTTTATGACTCGGATATACATTCTAAAATGTTTAGGACCAAGACTAAAAATGCAAATTCGTCAAAATGGACAATAATTTTTTCTAAGATGAAACTCTTCTCTTTTCCTTGTCAGCAAATCCATCTACACTCTTGCCATCTTCGGTTTCTTCCTTTTGTTATCTTTCAATTGGTCATTTTGGCTGACATTGTCTACCTGCGAGGCTGCAATCTTTACACAAACCAGCTCTCTTGTCAAATTGACTTTTTTTGCTGCTCCGATTGTTAATTATTAGAAATTGTTACTCAAAAATCATCATTAATGTCGATGCGTATACATATCTTTTATGTACATAATCTGCCCATGTCACCATTTTTTCCATTTTTCAAATTAAACTTTTATACTACGTATATGTTTTTTTTACTCTAGGAGGCTAGGGGAGGGGGGCTGGGGCGCCTGGAGTAATCATAGCTGAAATTCACTCTATTAAATTTCAAACCCCTATGTGCCTAGTGGGTTTCGAATTCGAGACCTCCTACTAAACTTTTAAATGTATATAGCTAGATATGTATAACAATCCAACTTCGAATTCTAACCATTTTATATACTCCATAATAATCTCTCTATATATACTACACGGTTATTAAATTAATTATGAACATGTTGAATTATATTTTTGTTTTAATATGTACTACGTACTACGTAATACGGGGTACTAATTTACATAAGCTAATATATCTATCCAAATAATACCCCGGCCAATTTATACATGCATTTAAAATATGTATATGGGAGCTAGCTGAGACATATACTTCATCTTCTACAAAAAAAAATAAAAAAATAATGTATTAATGGTTCAAGTCTCTATTTCAGGTAGGCACTTTGCTAACGACTTCTTTACTTACAAATCATCAGATTTGAATAAAAATCATATTCTGGAGCAGTAAGTCACTAACAGATTTTATAAAAAAAAAAACATAAATTTTAAAATAAACACCTTGTCTATTTACGGTTGGCATTTTAAGTTTTTCTAAAACATTACGTACCTTAATTATAACGCCTTATTAGTTGATCTTATTTGGAACTTGATTGAAAGGTTTTGCCAATCTCAACCTAATTATCTTCAAATTGAAAATGAATCACTGTAATACAAATGTCGTGTGTTATTAATCTATATTGGTCATGACACTTATATAAGCAAGGCAACATGTGGAAAGTAAATAGCCTTCCCACTAGCAAATAATTACTCCATATTCTAGAGAACCACATTTTGGGTAATTGAACAGCCAAACCATTAATTATATACTCCGTATTGGACATATCTCAATTACATGCATGCCCATTCAATGCCTAGTAAGTTTACCAGCCAGTGTGTGAATCATTGTGCTCAGCGAGTCTCCTAAGAACATCTCCAATGCATCCAAGTTTAGTCTAGGTAAAGTCTGCCACATCATCAAATTAGACGGCGACTTATTTTATCTTCCTCCAACGCTTAAAAATTTCGACCACATTCGGCTGATCTGGCAAGAAATAAGTAAACGGTGTGAAGCATCATGTCTAATGTCGAACGTCCTTCTAAACTTGCTGACTCATCCGGATTTAAATAAATAAACCATGGGGAAACAAAAACAAAGCTTCAAAACGAAAGGTAAATCGCGTAATAAAAACGCATCCTGCCAATTTTCCATATTACACATCATTCTGTAGGGGTTTCTTCAAATCACCTGTCAGAAACCCTTTGTCTTTTGGTGTCTTTTGGTATATTGAAGATGATTTCTACATGTTTAATTTGTTGACTAGGGGTAAATATCGATTCTTTTTAATCTTTAATTTTTTTAAATAATTTTTAATTATTAATTTTGTTCGTCAATTGCTAGGATTTACCGTGAATAATTTCTCTATAATTTTTAGTTTTTGATCTTTCTATACGAGTTCTTAATTTGGCAATTGCTAGGTTTTAACTTTTAAGAAGAATGTAAATCATCTGTGATATTTTATCGCCGGAAGAGTGTACGGCAATTAATTTTTTGTTGTTGTTCTTTTTATATTATTTATAAAATAAAGCCACATGTACACTTAACTTGGACTTTAGACTTTTTGCATTGGAGCATTTTTTCCTACGTGAGAGTCTAGCTAGTACACTTTGTATCATGGGAATTAGAAATCCTTTTAATTATTTGACATTTGGCATATTTCACTTAGACTAGAAAGTATTGCATTGGAGATGCTCTAAAATGCACCGTTTGAGTTTCCAATGTCAATAAATGTGTCATTTAAGAACAAAAATTAATTGTCCACATACTACGTAGTACAATAATTTGTTTCAGATAAGCGGCCCATTTAATTCATTTAGTTAAGGAGTATTAAACACAATAGTTTTTACACTAATTGGCCGCCCAAATTGCTACAGTATTCCTGCCCAAATGTCCCTCCCACTTTTCTTTTTTTATATATATAGATTATTTATAATTGAGATTTTTTCTTAGATATTACAAATAAAAATAAATGTGACTTAATAAGTATTAGTGAATATAATTATGTTCAATGTTTACATCATAAGAACTTATACTCCGTATTTACTTTCTACGATATAAATTTTGAACACATTTGTAGATACTAATAATTACGTAGAACGTATTAAGTAATATTTTTGCCTTTGACATTTTAAAGACTAATATTTACAGAATTATTTCTTTATAATTTTATTTAAATTTAACTAATTTAAATGCAATATTATAATTGAACCATATGAACATAGTATGGATCATGGATGTTCATATAATACACTATCGTATTTGAAGGGAAAAGTACGAAAAATGTATTTACCAATGTTCTGACTATTTACGATTAGTCACGTTAGTAGCCACTCAAATCGTAGGAAAGTGAAAAAAATCAAAAAAATGTGGTGGTTTGGAGGTTGCCTTGACAATGCGACATATTTTTTATATTTTAATTCATAGACACTTTTGAAAATCAGAGTTATTGTTCATCGCCTTTTCCTGGTCATTTCTAGCGGCGTTGGATGTCGGACGCTTGGAAAAGTAAACTTTCCCGCGGAAAATTCAATGCCAGCGTCATCTTTTTTGAAATATATTTTTACCGGAAAGTGTACTTTTAGTCTGAGTTGTTTTCATTATTTCTCTTATAACTTTAGTGACTTGCGAATTTGATCCTGTAATTAAGAAATCTTTGTGATTTAAGGATCCCCGACTTGCCCCTTGCCCCTTGCCATCTCCACGAGTAGTGCCAGTCAATTTTGATAAAGGTTTAAAGGATGGGAGGAGTTTTTGGAATTTGACATTCTCTTAAAGTACAAGGAAAAAACTTCTAATATGACAAAAAACGGAAAAAAGACATTGTGATTTGTAAATGATAGTGTAAATATATGATACTTTCTCCATCCCTTATTTAAGTTCTTAGTTTGACTTCAAACACATTAAGCGAATAAATTTATTGAGGGGTAAATTTATTATAGAGTACACTGTTGTGACACTATTTTGCACTGTTTTGGCACTACTTTGCACTGTTTTGGTGTGAATTTGTTTGTCAAATAAGAAAGTGTGAACGTGTTTATAACATACAAAAAGGAAAGTAAGAACTTAAATAGGGGAAGGACAGAGTAAAATTCCGTATGCCAAGCATCTATATAATGTGATTTCCCTCAACTTCATCATATCCGGTACATTTTCTTCTTCTTCATGATGATGACGTTGATCCCCCAACTCAATAACGATATTTCTTTCCCTACAATACGAATTGCGACGGAAACCATAAATTAAACTTTTAACGTAAACAGGATGAATTAGAACTTATAAGAAAACATGGTACTTACTTCAATTTCTCTGTACGTAGCGTAACATAAAAGTGGTAAACTAAGTTTTGACTTTATTTGAATTGCGTAAGAAATTAAGAAAAATAGTACGAGAGTAACGTTTTTGAACTTCCAAAAAGAGAAATTTAATGCATCCACCCTTATATCCACTTTATACACATCTATATTTGTGATTTTTTTTGTCTGTAAATTCAGTTCACATATAAAATACTTCCTCCGTTCCTTTTTAATTGCAACAGTCAACATTTCACGTTTGCCAACGCACAAGTTTGACCATTAATATCTTTTATTTTGTATTAGTAAAAAATTTAAAAAATTCATATGTTGAAAATTTAGAATGAGAAGAATTTAACAATATTTTTTAAAAATTTAATTTATAATACATCAATTAATAAAATGTAGTCAAAGTAGAATATATGAATAGTGCAAAAAGTCCAATGTTGCAACTAAAAAAGAACGGAGGTAGTATGTGTTATAAAAAAACTTTCACAAAAATTGGTGAGTATAAAAACAGGTATAAGAGTGAACACAAATATCATTTTTGAGTGGGATTAAGGGAGTATGTATATAGACTTTCGAGGATAAGATATTTAGTTATCTTACAATAATATTTCCATTGCTAGGAGCGGTTTTTGTGGTCTTGGAAAATTTGTGACTTTTGTGGTGATGAATGACATTCCGGCGCCGGGTGCCGCTGGGGATGCTGGTATGCGTTTCGGGGCCACGGTAATCGACATCGTAAACCGCCATAGATAAAGACGAAGCGAAAAGGAAGAAGAAGAGAATGATAGTTGTAAAGCTTCTAATAATTCCCATTGTGAGAAAACGGGAGGAGAGAGTATTGGAGAAGGACGTATGGTAGAGTAGGGGTTTTGTAGGAGTAGTGAAAGGAGGGAATGGTCATGGAAGAAGCATGTAAACATTGCACAAACCATTTTAATTCACATTTCGCTTCAATCCGTCCCCATCGCAATTGCTATATACTATCGTATTAATAGTTGCCAGGTCTTTGACGTTGAAACATGTAACTTCATTATGAGCCCGTTTGGTAACACCCCAGTAGGCTGTATTGGCGAATTCTGCTGAAATTGTGAAGTTCTGGGTGAAGTGGCTGTATTGACTGATTCTGCTTATTTGTGGAAAATTGGAAAAAGAATTTAAAATATATTTTATTAATAAAATAAATTAAAAATTATATGAAAAAGTAGTTCACCCAAAACTAACGTGTTTGGTGAAAAAGATGGTTGATAAGACTGAAAAGCCAGAAATCATGCATACCAAACAGACTCTATATATATATATGAATCTCCACCTTGGCCCCGGGATATATTTTAGCCAAAATTTGTGATACTCTCAACTATCATGTTCATATAAATCAATTAAAACATTTCATTGGAGTACGTAATTTATAAACATAAATTCATGATAGTTTAATATCTTCATTTTAAAGGTTACCATAGCATTTATTTTATCTCTAATAAAAACTGAAGGCTCTCTAGGTTTTAGCCTAGTTTTTTCCGGCGGCGGCCTATCCAGGTCGTGGGTTCGGCCGATCTCTCCCCGGTAGACAACTTATCTCATATATCTTCTCATGGTATTGAGTTCTGTTGTCATCGCGGGGTTTGTTTGTTTCTTTTTTGTTCTCTTTCTGACTTGCCATTGCGGTGAATCTGGATTGTGTCTGGACGAAGCTTTTGGTTTTTCTTCTTTACAAGAGCAGCGAACAAGCAAGGAATCTTTCAGGAGGGATTGAGGCTTCTGATTTTGGCAGGGGACGGGTTTAGCAAGGGGGAGATGGGGTGCTGCAGAATGTTGAAGACGAAGACGAGTTGTTATTCTTCGGCAGTTTGGGAACGAGCTTTCATGAAACAAATGGCTATTGGTGAAAGCATGAAGTTTCTGGTGGTCGACATCGTGCTGTCGGACTGGAAATCAAATTTCAGGGGTTCATTGGTGGCCTATGTGTGAAAGAAGACGAAGGGATGTTGATCCGCCCACCTCCAGAACCGCCGCCTTGGAGGAATTCTGCGACTAGGGTTTGGACGAGTATTTCTATTTCTGCTGAGTCGATTGTGTTTTGTTTTTATTTTATTTCGATTGTGTTTTGTTGCTTATTTATTTTATGTTGTAAGACTTTTGCACTTGGATTGGGGGATGAGAGGCCTGCGGTAATCGTCGTGGTTTTGAATATGCCCAATTTAGAATTAGCGAGTTATATTGCTTTGTCAAAGGTGATTAACTCAGAGTCTCGTCCACGGGCGGATGGTTACATGTGATCCTTTTGTTATTTCAACCCTTTTCTGAGTGCTTTTTATGAATGAATGTCTGTTCGATGATAAAAAAAAGGAGAGATATTTTGTATGAATGAATGAGTGCTTTTTCTAATTATAAGTTATACTCCGTAACACATATGATTGGTCCATAACATTATTTCATTATTTATTTATATTTTAATTGTTTAATTACAATATTTATTTTAAAGGTTTCCCGGTGCACATTTATGAGAGGTGGGGTGTGGGTATCGGGGTGAGAGATCTCGCACGTTTGATACCGGACGAAGAGAGTTCAATTTTGTTCACCCCTCCTTGGAGGGTGAACATAACTCCCCTCCCTATTTGCTTGCCATGTGGCAAAAAAAGAAATGAAATGCCAAATGGCAACATTTGAGCTATGGGAGTGATGTTCATCCTCCAAGGAGGGGTGAACAAAATTGCGCTCGGACGAAGATAGCAATATAGCATAGCATATGTATTTGGCTTCTTCGTTATGCTTAGTCATTTGACCATATTGACTTTCATAGATAAAACCAAATCAACTTTATTGATTAATTGCTGGCACATAACTACATAAGTATATTACTACATAGGGGCTGTTTGGATCTGATTCTTAAAATTGTTTCTGCTCCTTCAGGGGGCAGAAACAGAAGCTGGAGTGTTTGGGTAAAAGTGCATAAATGATTCTGGTATTCAAATTTACTCCTAGAATTAGTTTTTTTAGAAGTTGGGGGTGACCAGCTTCTGAAAAACTGATTCTGCTTCTGCTTTAAAAAAAGCATAAGCAGAATCAGTTCCAAACACCCCCATATTCGGTAGTTCGGTACCGTATTTCAAATAAGAAATGTTTGATTTACACCTTTTTGGATATATTATTGGTACGCTTTCTTTGTCTGCATTGATAAAGTTGTCTGTATACAAACAAATTGTCTCCACATACAAAAGTTATTTGTATACAAATAACTTTACCTTTGATAGATTAAGTGTATTAATGGTATACACACACAAATTGTACACCAATAATTTTTCATTTGGGAAAATCACATTTTTAGTCCTTGAAATAGTCACGAAAATGAAATGTCGGACCCATATTTCTGATATTGTAAATGTCACCCCTCAATTGTCCAAATTGTTGTAAATGTGGTCCTTTAAGAGGTGAAATGTACTCTCGCCCAATTGTATGTTTCACCCATCAAAAGACCACATTTACATCATTTAGGACAATTGAAGGACAACATTTACAAATTAGGGAATATGGATCCGACATTTCATTTTCGTAACTATGTCAGGGATTAAAAGTACGTTTTCCCTTTTTATTTCAAATTAGTTGTGGGAGGTGGGGATTGTAACAGCCATTTATGGATAAAAGCTTTTCAAGTTCATGTTTGGGGATAAATTTTTAGTCAGAATATAGTGTTCATTTCATATTCTAAATGTTCCAATTTGTTATTCAAATAAAAAATGTTCCAATTTGTATTAGTAATTGAAACATATGTACGGAGAATCTAAAACTAAACTAGAAATTCTATAAAAATGTAAATTATGGCGCTTTCAACCCAAACACGCTACCATTAATTAGCAGCGTTAGTAATGTAAGGAAAGTAGCGTTTTTTCCAAACACTCTAATATCCAAAGAACCCAAGGTACATTTATGCTACACTTTTAAAGGCCAAAGGTGAAGAATAAGTGAAGTATACTTTTAAAGTGTGTGAAGTCTTCTAAAACATTAAATAAATTAGAAAAATGCTTTGGGTACACAAAATGTGTACACATGTTCGTCCTTCACAGAAATTTTGTTTGTCACAGAAAACTCATTTCTGTGAAGGACGGACAAAATTTGAGTTGTCTATGCTAGACAAAATTTCTGTGAAGGACGGACATGTGTACACATTTTGTGTACCCCAAGCAAAACTCTAAATAAATTAAGACGGATGCAATACGATAGAGAACACTATCTTATTTAGTTTTAGATAATAAGGATTGCCAATAATACGTATGGTAGGGTTGAAATTGAAGTTTAATTAAGGCCTGCTAGTCCTGCTACTGCTACACATTCCTCATTAACTCATTACTTATTAGAAGTAGGCCGCTATGCAACACCGTGAAGGTAGGAAGAATCATTAAGAGCAAGACCTCCATCATCTTCCCTTGGTGCATAGCGGGTTTCGAATACGAGACCTCACAAACAGTTGGGCTGGTATGCTCGTTCCACTTCCAATTTGAAACTGTACTTCATGTACACCCTCTACCTTAATTACACACCGTATATGTGCCAAAATTTTTCTGTCCACAGGGAAAAAATTGAAGGAAAAAAAGGGTTAATAGTTTAGTTTATTCCAAACTATTATCAAATTTACAAATCTATCATATTATTTCACTTTTATCAAAAAAAGACTTAAACTTCATCTCTCTCAACAATTATACTTTTTTTAAAGGACAACAATTATACTTTTCTTTTTTGTTTTTTCAAAATTACAAATTTTTATCAATACCAATAAAATATAAGCAATACAAATTTGTTAATTAAAAAGTGAAAAGAAGTAAAAAAAAATTGTGAAATATAAATACTCTCTCTGTTCTCTAATAGATGGGAGTATAGGCTTTGACACAAGATTTAAGATGGAATTAATAGGGTATGATAAAAGGTGTAGTAGGTTGTGTGTAAAGGAAAAAGTATGAAAGAAAATGAAAAAGTATGAAAGAGAATGAGGGTAAATGGGTATATTTATTGGAAAAAATTTACCAAAAGTGAAAAGGGAGGCAACTAATAGAGAACATCTCATGATGGAAAGAGGGCCAAGTATTAGAGAACGGAGGGAGTATGATTTTCTTCTTAAGTTTTACAAATTCATCCGTTGAAAGTGTAATTGTGAGGAAAGTTGAAGTTTATGTCTTTTTTAAATAAAACTCAAAGTATGAGATAAATTTGTGAATTTGATGATAGTTGGAGATATATTTGTCTAACAATCCAAAAAAAACATGTTCACAACAATTTAGGAGTGGTGCCTTAAGTAGGGCTGCACAAGAATAACCCGAACCCGCATAACCCGCCCGATCCAACCTTACCCGACCCTATTTCATTGGGTATTTGATTTTAAAAAATATTCATGAGTTAAATATGTTTGAACCCGCACCTAATGGGTAGAGTTGCGGAATTAAAATCTCCAACCTGATAGTACCTGAACCGGCCGAAGTTCATTTTACTATTATTATGTTACAATGTTTTCTTGGACAATTTCAATTTAAGACCAATGTGCTCTATCTAGGACTTTATGATATTAAAATTATAAGTAAACATTTACCATTTTGACTAGGTGATTATTATATAGTTATGTTTCCTTCTAAATGAACTTTCTTTACGGAAGGATGTTTTAATACTATTACCTAATGTTTTTGCCAATAAAAGATACGAGTACTTGTATTTGTTTGTGTATTTTGGAAACAAGTTAGTCAAGTTTTAAATTGGTTACATTAATTTCCCACATGAAAGATGTCACCTGAAGTAATCCCCCCCCAAATACCCGACCCTACCCGACCCGTTCATGCATGGTTTACCAACTTATTTTGCATACCGCAGGATGGTTAATAGCCAACCCGAACAAATCGGGTAGACCCAAAAAATATAGAAAACCCGACCAACCCGTCCGATGTGCAGCCCTAGCCTTAAGTATACCATCATACCATGCA